TTCATTTCTCGGTTGATCATTGATATCAAAGTGTGTCAAGATTGTTGTTCATAACCCATTCAATGGTTTCGCATCGCAGCACTTTAAATTGCAAACATTTTCATTGAGATCTAAATTGCTCATTAATGATTTCTTTCCTCCACTCATGTTCTCATTTGGCGTCGGCTCATTTTTATTCTGGAAGCGCTAGCACATTTTTTATATCGGTAACGTTGAGCGCTTAAGGTCCACTTTGATTAACATTTCATTAAAGCGACGATAAATTTCTCTAGATTACTCGCTTTGCCTCCCATAGGAAGATTCTGAATGCAAAAATTTATGCATGATAAATAAACTCTGATGGAGCATTGTAGTCATCCTAACGAATACATTTTCATTGAAATTACATCAGCAAAAATATCTTTAAAAATCGACAACTTTCGCAATCTTCTTCATTTTATGTACTCAAATGTCTTATACTAGGAAATCTTTCGCAGCTCACTTCTTTTTAAAATTTATATCAATTGCAATTCAGACGTTGAAAATGAAATTCAAATATTATGAGGTTTTCGGCGAATATTTTGACACAAGTTTGTCTACCAAGCCGATGAACAATACATGTTGACATCGTTGATGAAATTATTCAGTTTGCACAACAATTCACGAAAGCAAACAGCTTCCCTCAAAACCTAATAAACTCATCAATTTGAAGAACCACTTCATATCTCTTTCAATTACTTCTCTTTAATCTCATCAAATATGCATTCATAATCAAGTTATTCATATAACATATGAAGTGTTTTGGGCGATTCTTTCGGCTAATTCATGGCACTTTGTTGTAATGAAACATACTGAGTGATTGCTAGCTGCATACGTTGATGAGTCAATGAATACTTAATGAGGAAATTGCGAGGCGATCAGCACTGCTTGCTGTTATATACCGAAGACGTATTTCTAAAAGGCGAATAACCAATGGCTACAACTGTTTGAATATTATGAACCTCATTTAAGAGCATCTTTTTGGAGGTGAAGCTGTAGAATCAAGCCTAGATTTGTATTTGTGCCAGTTATTTGATCGATCGAGGAGATCATTTGGATTGACGTGGAATGGTTTGCACCACATTTTCGAACTCATACGAAAATGAATCGCATTGGAGAATGTTGTTATTCGTACTTTCCTAGGCCAATGTTGATACCTATTTCAGCAACGAAACTTTCGAGAACAATTCCAGTGAGGTTTTTCCCATTACAGGAGTGAAAATTCAACTTTGCCGTCAACATGTTTCAAGTATTTATTTAGTACAGAAAAAGTTTTTTTTCATGTCATCATCGATGATTAATCGAATTTCGTCAGAACGTTTTGCACGAGCAATGTCGAATTTCGTTGAATTTCGAATGTCGAATTCAATTTCGAACTCACAAATGACTACCTTAACGTGCTCATGCATTTTTGTATAAATTGGATTTTGTAGTTTCAGCTGCATGTTAACGCCAGTAGAAAGTACTGGATACTCATGCGAGAAATGAAATCGCTAGATTAAATCGGAAGGAACGAGCGGGCGTTGGAAAGCGAGAGTTCTAATTTTCATTCTCTTAAGTATTATAATTTCATCAAGGTATGATATTATCTAATGGTAAAAGACGATCGGTCTCTATGAATTTTAATCGTTCACAAATAACGCACACACTCTGCAAATTGAATCGGTGTGTACTGGAAATGAACGCTTCACTCTGTCTCGTCATTGAGCGAAATCGATTGTCAGTTTCGACTTTGACAGAATATATCGCTGAGTTCAGGTCGTTAGCTTATGTTCAGTCATTGGAATTCCATATCTGTTAACGTATGGATCAGCTGTGATAATTTATGAAATCTGCGATCAGCTGTTTATGTAAGTGGACCTTCTGTCATTGAACTTTAATCTGAAAATTGCGTTGAACATTCGTATTGCATTTCTTCGATAAGATAGACGTACTTCGACAACTTAGAGCATGGAGGTGGTAAGATTAACACGTGATAGTCGTTTGTATTAGTTTCCCAGATGGACTGCTCGAATGCTTCAAAAAAATTTCCGAACTGCCTAATTTAATTCATCTCTTTCTAGCAAGATAACACCTGCTCACAAACAACGATCCTCTCAAGCTTTTTCGCATTGTCTCTACGAACAAACACTATGAATCATTCCTAAAAATTTCGTAGGTTTACTTCATGATCAGTCAGTGAAAAATTGAGGTCATCTCGTATGTGAACATCATACGAGTTCAATTCACTGTTCAATTGTAGCAAAGAAATTTATGCATATTGCAAGCAAATAAACAAATATTCTCAGCAAAATGAACACCCATAAATCTGGCGGTTCGTTTGGTAAAAGTGAAATGTATACAAACATTTTCATGCATATGATTGATGCTAGAGCGTTGATATGTTGAAAAAANATTTTCGCATAATTAAAAACATTGCCTGATTCCAGCAGCAGTGCTTCCTATCGCGTTGATAACTCTTCGTTGTCATTTGTCGTTAACCGGTGCGAGTGTAGCACTGCACTTGTGCACATTTTATTAGTGCGTCTTTGTTTGCAGATATTATCATACTATCAAGAAGTTTTCCCATCCAATTATTTATATCCTATCATCAGTCCCCATCCCTCACATGCCCCCTCTTTCCATCCCCTCACATGCCCCCTCTTTCCATCCCCTCACATGCCCCCTCTTTCCTCCACATATCTTCTCTTCAGTCCCCAGGCGTCTCTCATCATACAAAATACGCATAATCTAAGGATTTGTGCAGAAATTTTCCTCATAACAAAAATGGCTTCAGTGATCTACCATTCACATGTTGACCACCTCCTAGAGAACATCCGCCAGCGATTAGGAAATCTTATGAAGTACATTTGGATTTATTTGTTGAGGGTGATGCTGACAGCTTCATTAATATCATTTCGTTGAGCGACATATAATCCTTTATCATCTATCCTTACGACTTCGTTAATGCATCGCTTTGAGAGTTTCTCAACAAATTCGTTTCAAAGATGAGATATTTCTTTGAAGATTTAATTGAATTCATCATCTATTGTTGATCAGTTCATTTCGAAACAAACAAACAAACTTTCTCACATCAATCTCTTAGCAAAATCTCTTGCGAAAAAACAAATTTTAATCGAGCACAAAAGATGAGAGATTCCATCAGCATTGAAGGCTGAATGCCATCAGCTAATGCCGACTGAATGAATACATTCAGTCGCCATCAACAAAAAGTGTCATAAAGCTTACTCTCAAACCACTGTTCGAATTGATATAATTAAGCTAATCGCATGGCAAAAACAGAAAATTTCCCACAGCACCTTTGTATTCCTAACAGGCTAGCATTATTCGTATCTATTCATCTTGTCTTTTCATATTAAGGCAATCGCCAATTTAGAATAACTGCTGCTGNATCGAGCACTGAATAGGATATTTATGTAAGAGAGAATTTTCATTTGCAGATTTATCGTCATATTCCAGTACTTGTGATTTTCTGGATCGTTTGGAAGAATAATTGGCGATTACATAATTGTATCGTTGATGTCAGCAACGACTAATACCATTTTCGATTTGGCAAATAACTGTCCTCGGCAAATTATGCGCAATTCAGTGCCACATTTCATGCTAACATTCCGAAAGAATAATCTAAAAAACGGCGTTCTGAGCAAAGCAATTCGATGATGTTGTCATTCGCAGCGTTTCAGTTTCACTGGTTTTGTTTCTATGATTGAGAATCTGTGTTTTTATGAGTGCGAACATTTTCCACCGATTACTGGAACAATTTCAACTGATTGTGAGACTAATTTTCCAGTCGATTGGTATTTTCGATTGCATTCATCCGTCGTGAACATGACAGCTCGGATAAAATTGGCCACTAATGGGAGACAGTCTCGACACGAATACTATTTAGGATAAGCGGTTGCTTGAACTCTCTTTCTGTTGAATGCTATTTAGGATATTGCCATTCGTGCAAAATTCTACATCATTTTTCCCTTGGGACGGCCTAAGATTACAGTGATAATCAACCATAACAGTTAGAATTATTGACTTCGTTAGCTTCGAATATAAAAATACATTGTAGCNATTCCAAGAATGCGACTGTGAGATCTTATTACGCGTCAATGCTCAATAATCCATGAATAAATTTCTGGTAGCATTTAAAGTTGGAATGTCATTCAATATCGCGTCATTATTAACCTTCAAACTCATCCACATATTTCATGCCATTTAATAAAATAAGATTCCTCCTATTGAACGTCATTTATTCCTTCTTTATTATCCTCGCTATTCCAATTTTCCAACTCATTTCATTCCTTTTTGATCATTTATGTATACAGTTTCTTTTAGATATTCGTATGCTATCATCAAAATTTTCATTCTTTGACACAATCAAAAGCCTATTTAAAATGCAGTCAATCCATATTCAGTACGCGAAAGACTCATCACTCAATAATACGAGCGTATACGATATGTGTATTTTCAAGGCTCATTACTCAGTAAAATGTATGAGATAATTACTCAAAAGTGCAATTCAGTTAATTTTTTATGCGTTTCGCGATTTGTTTTCTGACCATCATTCATTTCGCACAATGCCTAATTTTCTCGATTTTCTCGATTCCTCTTTTCATTTCATGAGATATGCTAAATATTGAACGAAACTACGCGATTTTCTGTTCGGTGGCACCAAAAAGACTTCCGATTGTCGGCAATGGAAATGTGGTAATAAAAATGGAAATGTAGGCGTAAAATTCTTCAGAGATTCAATTCACAGTAGTTAAGTGGTGAATCAAGTTAAGCTAATTGATTCAATTCGCAGTAAGTTAACTTCTTGACCACTTAACTTACTGCAGGTTATGTGAAATCGTGATCAGTTTTCATTTAAGAATGTTCGTTTCGGAGATTTCATTTTATCGAGTTCTTTTGAGACGCAAATGTAATGAACGAATGTTGTAATGAACGATGATATCATCGCAAATTCGAGATGAAAACCGTTGCTCGTTAAGGCGATTGTGATGCGTAGTGGAGGATTACATCGAACAGCTCTCGCAATATCAATATGCCTTATTATTTGTGGTTTATGTTTGACGACGTTCAGCTTATTCAGTGCTGCTTGGCAGGTAAATTTTAGTGGCTCATCCCATGCAGCTGTTTGTTTGTTCGGATATCGTAATATTCGGACGCGATTCGAAATGGTGATGAATACAACTATGTTCACAGGTTGTCGAGATTCGTGAGTTTCAAGCTGAGCATCAGCACGGTATTTGGTGGGATTGTGTTCGTTCCGATCGCTATTTGATTCCGCTGAGCCGAGTCGACCGCATCGATAAGACATCTCCTCGAAGGGCGCTGAAATGTGCCTATAAGTTTGATCTCATTGCACAAGAGGCACTTGCCAGTGCGTTAGCTGATGGCGAAGCTACTGCTAAAGAAATGCAGTTACATCGTTTTCTCCGTGAGTCGATTTTTTTCAAACAATATCCCTATTGAATTCTTCCTCTATAGATTAGCAAATTGAATTCTATAGAGCAGGAAATCCTGCTACAATTTATTTAATAGCTGTTCTCTAGGGCCTTTTTTCAATGTCAACTTTGCAGTCGAATATAATAGAAGAATCGAAGAATTCAAGAAAAAAATTATTTCTGTTGTTGATCACTTTCTTGTGCAAACTTTCCAGTTCAAATTTTGTATCATACTCTCTCATCACTTGTTGTATTTGTTCAGCTCAGCATAAAGCCGTGATATTTTTCGCCACGTTCACGTTCATATTCGGATTGATCTCAATCATAATTGGATTATGCTCACCATGTTTCACGCCAAACGCACTTCTCTACATCGTTGCACTTTTCCTAACAGGTGCACCATCCATTCTTTAATGTGTGAAATTGAATGCATGTTCAAATACTGACTGAACAAGAATCGATATTAAAATATCATATGAAAATATACCGTTATAAAATTTTGCCACCAAATTGCCGCGAGTTCAACAATCCAGTCAGAGCGGGAAGGGAATGTATGCAGGAAATACTCGCTTATTTTTGTCAAATAAGCTTCAAAATCGAAAAGCACCACAAACTTCCCGTGTGTAACGGGATTCTGTTCTACAAATGAAAAGCTTTGAAGCAATAAAATCCATATGCAAATCGCCGAATCTAATGTCAAAAATGTTTCCTTTCAGCGTCTTGTTCAGCGCTGGCCGATATCATATTCATGTTTGCAGCAATGCGAGTGGATACGCGCTTTGTGCACGGAATCGTTAACGTTTATGAGGTGCGTAGAAGATTACTGAAAATTTCCGTTACTCGCTTCTGAAATTTGCTTGTAAATACTACTTTTTGGTTGGACACTTATGAAAAATCATTCGCGCAAATTAAGTTCGAATGAATCAATCTATGAAGATGACGTTATGAATTATGGAAAAACCAAAAAAATTTTGATTACTACGTAACATCGATGGAATTTTCGAGTTTGAGAAAGTACTTTCTTCAAATGGAGGTGAAGTTCAGCGTGAAACTTGAAACACAGGGATTTTAGTTGAGAGTCTCCCCTTCTGGGATCACCTAGAGAAAAGCCATCCTACAGGGCTATGCCACCTCAATCCAACATTAATTGTGCATGTTTCCTTTGGTAAATGTGAGATACGGTGAGATCACAAGCATTCAATAAAATTGATCTCTGCAAAGTGTCATTCGAACCGACAAGATCGTGTTTCATGATTTCAGCAGCGAATCGGCTATGCCGCAATACTTCATATTGTGTCGTCAGCAATATTCCTACTAGCATTTTTATCGTCTATTGTTGCTGCATATTTGCTAATCGCATCAAGAGGTGCTTCAGAGTGTTGCTGTTACGTTACGGAATACCAGTACGATTTTAGGGAAGAGCCGTATGCAAAATGGAGGTTAACTTATGAAATTCTTGTATGTTTCGTGATGTCACTTGTAAACGTTCTCCTTGGTACTCATATTTTCCATGTACATCGTGTTAAATGCTTCGACGCGAAAACGTTCGCATTTGTGGCATATTCTTGAAACCCTTGGCATGGTACTAGATCATTTCGGGCATTAACGTTTAGCCGTTTTCTAACTTACCTGTAACAACCAACAGACGTGTTTCGGATCTCACTGGTCATCATGCTCTGTTTGGAAAGATTTTGGCAAATCATCTTAAGTAAATCAGGCGAGCCATTGGAGTGAGATGCTCAGAAGATGAATGTCAAAATCTCTGCATTCATATCGCTTTCCTGAAAAACTCAAATACCCGCAATTTCAGATCAAGGAGTGTTTGTGGTGGAGCACCTTTGCTATCGTCGAACGGCGGTACAATGGTCCAAAAATGCAATTCAGAAAGGTGCCGACCGTTCGTGGTTATAAGTGATGAAACGAGTGCCTAAAATATTACCGTTCAGGTTCACAAATCGTAATCCATTATTGCAGCTCATCATCAGCAGTTACTTGCTTCCCAGTTCGTCACAATTGAATCTGTGCATTTGCTGAATGATGTGAATCCTGAAAAAATTTCGGTTTCACGTCACTCAATCATTTTAACTAACCAGTCGTATTCAATGAGCATATGCATGTTATCGTCGAACGGCGATAATGTGTTTATTTGAATCAATGTAATCGAATAATTCGCTGATTTTAATGAGCAATTCTCCGATTCTCCGACGTGCAATTCACTGATTTTTCGTTATTAGAGCAATGCATGCATCTCATCTGTAGCATCTTTCTTATTTCATGCGCCGGCTAACACCGAATACTTCATCTTCCTTGTTCGAGATAATGTTGAATGTTGCACCCGTAAGACACCCACTATTCCAATTGGAGTAGGTTTTATTGTTGGTTAAATGAGATTAATGATTCAATAATTATAAGTTTTATGAATGACATTTGTTTGCCATTACATTTGCTCACCTAAAATGCTCCAGCTGTTTAATTTTGAAGTCTTATGAAACGTTCAGTAATTGTTTACATAATTCACTCTGTAATCACATCAAACCAATTCGTTAGCATGTGGATGATATGGACACGAGAACCTTAAACTCGTCAGGAGTTGAAGTGCAAAATGCTGATAAATCCGCCAACTCTTACTGAATGAAATACTCGACTTGTTTCTAGGAATCGAGCGTACACTGAGCCGGTGTCCGTGTACTTCCGATATGGATCAAGTCCTCGAGTGACCACTCGTTGGGCATACGATAGTGATGTTCTGTAATGGAATCGTCAAGTGATGCTGACAATGAGAATGCATTATCTGGTTGTGGGATGGATGAAACTGATATTTGTTTTCATAGAGACTTATTAACCGAAAACAATATGTTCGCATGGTTTTTTTCGACAAGTCACCCGGTTGATGAACAAACAGGCTTGCAGTAACGGTTGCCAGTGTAATAAATAAGAAATGGATGTGTGATGATTTTTTGAATCGCCATAATGATCTCAACTTGTTTTTTCATTGCTGTTATATCGCTCATTCCGAATAAAAATGATGTGATTTTTTTGATTTTGAATTGAACAATTACAAAACATAACGATGATAAGTTCATTGCTTCGGGAATGCAAAAGAACTAGTTTAGCTGAAGATGGGGCTCTCATTGAACGTTAACATCAGTGAGAATGCTCATTTCATTAACGTCACATTTGCACTTGTCACTTCTTCAAATGATCTAATCGACATTCTGAATTGTGAACAACTAAAAAAAGAAATTCTGCACTCTCTCCGTCACTCAAACCTATGCTTATGAGAAACAACAACTCATTAGACGAATCGAGAGAGCGCTTGAAAATGAAATATGCTGAATAAAGTTGAATTATCTCACATCCAGAACACTTCCACAGCCAGCGCTTCATATACTGCAACTGCGATTGGCGTAATCCCCAGTGAAAACTTCCAAAAATTGAATTTGCTATTCGCTTTACCACTTTGCTCGTAAGCGTCATTCTTTATAGAATACTTGATTAAATTCTCTAATTGAAAAAATTAACCACCAAGTCGATATTGCCTACTTGCGGTTTAAAGTTAGTGTAGATGATATTACGAATATTTCTTTCTTTGCTCCAATACAGGCACATTGATGCAAATAATCATTAATGCGATGGGATGTCTAAAGGTATTGTTGCTGTGATCGCGAACGAAATCCAGCGAACTTCTGCGGATAAACATGCAAACAGCATGAAGAATGATTTGAATTTTTTACTATCGATATCGTTCGTGTTGATCGAGGAGTACTGCTGTGAGACGATGAACCACTTTTATTCGATCATTCAGTGAAAATCGCACTTTAAACAACAACAATTTTAGCCGGTTCGAACGAGCATCGTCTGGCTAGAGAATGAAGCATTCCAGTTGTCATTATGTTATCGTTATGTTCATTTTCTAACCAGATCCCTGTTCAGCTTAGCCGAAATTGTTAGTACTTAAATTGTGGGAAAATTGTGTTCTATCGTAAGAACGAACTGCATTCTCTTGTTTCACATTATTCTTAGCAAATCGCTATTGAATGCTCTTAAATGTTACTACCAGTAATGTTACCAATAATGTTAATTGTATCATTCCGTCTCCTAATTTCCAAAATTTTAGCTGCTTGCTCATTTCAATTCGTTATTTGATGATTAAACATTTCTTTGAATTTTCCCAGTTATTCTATCTATTGTCACATTGATCTTTTGAACCAAAGTTCCCATGTTGTAACCAATGAAATAGCAATATAATCCACTGAATTTTCACTTTTCACGATACTTTCTATGAGTAATTGTCGGAAGCAGATGATTTGATGATAATAAATTAATCGGTAATTTATTGCTGCTGATAATGTTAAAAGCGCAGTGAGAAGGAATCATTTATCGTGATGAATCACCAATAATGTAGTGACGCCATTCAACGTTTCGATTTTAAGTAATCCTCAAAAACGTGATATTGAATTAATGATTCTGAAGGAGTTTTTTTGATTCGTACGAACCAAGACTCCCTTTTCACTGCGTTTGCACTAATGTTAATAGCATCATGTTATTGTTTAGCTTTTTTTTTAAATTTATTTTTTTAATTGTTGAACCTCTCTTTACCGTCAGTACTCTCATTTTATAGTCCATTCCAAGTTGCTCGCTTCACATCCTCTTCTGCAATACTTTTGGGAGCTTTTTTTGACATGAAAGGCTGTCGTAACTCTCGACAAGGCAGCTCGTCTGCAGTTTTCACGATGACGGAAAGCTGGTTCAGTAATTGCTGTCTAATTTATTTCAATGACTCCAAGTAGTGCATGTCGAGTGTCTACACATCAATTCACAACAGGTTCTGTGAAACAACTGTGAATGGTGCTGAAGTATGAATAAATAAAACGTTCGCTGATCAGAGCATACCACGTGAACACTTTTGATTGTGTGTTGATGCAATAGAACTTTCGAATAAAATACATATGTTACACTGCTAGCTGTAGCTAACTACAGCAATTCGTACACTCGCCTCATTCAATTCATCATCGTCTATTTTCAACGCCATCGATATTATTCACAAATGTCTAACTGTTCATGTTACACACAAAATCATGGCACAATATTGTATCGTTTTCCTGATTACAGTGCATCATTTATGAAGAATTACCTAACTTATGTTTCTGCTCGATTACGTAGCCTGTTCAAAAAGCAATCGAAACTTCTCTGCTGAAATATTCCACTTCTATTTGGTTGATATCTTGTGCTCATTGAATAGATCGTTGAGAAAATGAGCAATCTTTAACACTATAATTACTTGCTTTCTTTCACCGCACATTCTAATATCTGATTTTGCGAAAAAAACCCTTGTTGCCTCCGATCCAGTTCATGCATAAAATATTCCATCGATTTGCTGCTGTTTCGTTGAGTGAAGCCAATATCCGAGTCTGCGCTCGTCACCCACCGTTCATGAGCACTATTGACGCAGTCAGGTGTATACAATTGCCAGTATCACAGAATCAACTGATTCTATTGTGGAATAACTCGGACTCTGCAGTAAGTTATTCTTCTTTAGTGCTATCAGAATCGTTGGATTATAGGAGCGAGGAAATTGTTTATGCTGAAATTCTGAGCAAAAATTACCTTTCGATCAGTGCTTATGCGATCAGGTGTGGATCCTTTACGTGAAGAAATTGTATTATGCGGGTAAATTGAATCCATTACGATTATGGCGCAGACATTATAGATTATTATTTACATTATTATTTGTTGACATAACTGAGTTTATCTGTAGTGATGATTAGGTGCAATGATGCTATCTTATCAGCAGAACTGCATACGTAACAGGTCGATAACGATGAGATAAGAAAATCTGTTACACTGTTTTTACAGGATGATGATACATTCCATTTCCCTGCATGTAACCAAACATCTGATAGTGTCGTTTATCATGTATCTGCTTTCATCACAAACGCGTGCGATCTGGAATTAGTCTGAATTCATCGATTATTTATTTTCATTGACGATCGTTTTCTTGTGTGATGGTGACGTTTCATAATTTATCACATTTGCTGACAAAAGATGGATTGTAATTTCGAAGAAGAATGCGCTTGAAGAAAAACAATTCGAGCATTGCTGAAATGATGTAATGGAATACATGATTTAACATATGACTACTTTTTTTCGAAAAAAGAATACGACACAGTCGTGCTTCTACGTGCGTTCTCATGAAATATTTCAGTTTTTCGAACGAATGATACCAGAACAACTGTTCATCTCATATTCCCCACCACACTATTCTAAACAATAATGTGGATTACGAGTGGAATAATTCAAGTAAAGTTCGTATAGTACCGTTTAAAGAATAATATACATCAAAAGTTAGAAGTTTTTCGTTTCCATCCACTGAATTTTAGACCTTATCTACGCATTGACGCAAGCGATTTGAGCAGCAAGGTGTGCTGAAACAAGCGATAGGGTAGGATTCAATAGAATTCATAAAATTCTGATATTCAACCTTCCGCTGCATTCAATGAGACTCGGTGCAGTTTTGCACAGTACATCAATTCAGCACACGATATTGAAATCAACCAAAGAAAGGAGAATTTCTGAATTCCTATCTGAAAAATTCTAAATTTTTTGTTGTGATTGTTGCTCATATGCATAACCACAAGTTTGTCGGAATAACGCTATGGAGGTTTATTATAACGGAAAAACTTACGTAATAATCTACGCGACATCCGTTCCCTGCTCCCCCATTTTTCAGATATAATCCACCTTCATACAAATTATTGTTGCTGGTTTTCCCATTTCGATGTCAATCAACGTCATTTTGATATTCATTTAACGTGGGCGGCTTCCATCCGGGTTTGCATCCGTTCACAGTTATCTTTATGTAGCATTCACTTCTTCACGCACCTTCCAGGATACCTCATAGTTTCATATCGCCAACGAGATTTCTATATTTACGGTTTCCAATATATCTGTTTTCATATACGATGTACGTTTGTAACATCAGTCGGATTGATAAATCACGTTTTGCACAGTTAATGTTGTGTAGTTTTTGTGACGTTTGTGTTATCCGTAAGTGCGTCAGTACGATATCGTGAAAAGCATCGCTGGGTCGAGCAATTAAAAATACAAGCGAAAACGTCCACACAACGTTAGTTGTGAATATATCCACATTACATTCAATCAATCAATCACGGTTGACCTTCAACTTGAGCAGTTTGATATCCTCATCCAAATAAGAGGGCATTCCCATCAAAAAACATCTCTAGGCAAATACACAATTTGACAAATATTTGCATAATCACATCTTAAACATACGTTGTTGTTTTGTCACGTGTTTGAATTCGTATGAGATGACATTGCTCTAAAAGCTATGACATTATTCTCCATTGTCGAAGATAATGCATTTAGACTGTGCTGATTTGTAGCGCGACACATTTATTTTTGAACTCCTGAAATATAAGCTATTGTGGGTGCTTTGCTTTTCATTAGACGCTTGTTGTTAGGACGTCGTTTCTCAAGCGCAGAAATACTTCGAAATTTTTCCACATTCCATAAATTAGGTTTCATATTTCAGCTTCAAACTCCAGTTCAACGAAATGGTTGCGTGGTTGTCAATATTTGCCCTTTGGCTCACACTTTTTTCCATATCCTTCACATTTTTGCCAGTGTAAGCCCAGATTTTTTCTTGCTCTTCCGATATTTCGATACTTCTACTCATTTTCTGGTTCTTTGCAATTCAACAAAGGTCTGAATTCCCAACAAATTTAATTTTTGCTTTCATTTTTGCAGATTCCAAGTTCTAGACTGGAGGAAGCGTGGTACTGCCGATGGCTTCTCGTCAATAAATCTCGTCTTACCATGTCTCATGTAAGCAATCGACACGATCCCATTAGTAAATTCGATTTTCGCTAAATATATCTTTAACTTCGGTAGCTAATCGATAAAAGTAAATAATGGAAATGTTCTGCCATCATATGAAATTATCGCATACCATTTAATCGAGAGAAATCTTCTTTTCGCGTTGACAGCTTCAGCAGGAAATGTTGAAAGTTATTCGCCAAATTCGATTTGAAATCTTCAAAAACCCAGAAGCGTATGTCTGCAAGCGTAAACGAAGGAATGTTTTTAGGATGGGTTGCTGGTTAAGACACGGTTTGATGACTGCTGATTATGTTAATATGTTTATCAACACTACCAACCTGGTCATTTTCGCTGGTTATATTAGTGCCTTCGCTTATTATCAGCCAAGAAGAGTAAGAAAATTGAGTATTTTCGATTGTTGAGAATCATACCTGTATGGCATTTCAGAGATACCTCACACAAAAACCTTATGTTCATTCGAATGCCAAAACTATTATTTCTGACGACTGTACAACACTTTCAGCGTTATTTGATCGGTCAACTAACGGGTTTATTCGTCTCGCTCTACATGATATTCCAGTACGTTAATGTACAACCTGAGCATTCAGCTGCCGATACAATGGGAACGATCGCTGCAGCAATGCAAATTCTCAGTCTCGGTGGACAAATCTATGAAATTGTGAGTAATATTTTGGAATTGATCGATATTTTGAAAGAATTATAACCTGACTCGGTCTTCACAAAGTTATAACCTCCTCCTGAAAAAAATATACTTGAATAATCGAACTTCTAGAATTTATCGTATTTTGGAAGAATTGCAAGCTAAATCGGTTTTCACTCAATGACGTACTTGAATAATGCAAGTTCAAATGTTTGGATTGATTGCTTCAATGGAATGATGCGAATCATCTTAATCTATTACTGTTTTAGAAGCGTGCCATTTCTTTTGGTCACACCGAATATATACCGGCCGAACTACAATTTGGAATCTTTTTGTTGGTAACACAATGGACCGTTTTCGGTATTCTCATCGGAAATTACTATATTGCTGTGAGTTGCTGCCTCGCAAAGAGTTTTTTTTTTCAGTGGATCGTAAAAATCCCTTATCTCCCCCTCCTGAAGAAGATTACACTATGTACTGAAAGCATCTCTGAGTTCACCTAAATATTACTTCATGAGTTTTCAAACAGTCACCCAAACATATTTAGATAAGAGACATTCGCTTAATTTTGATTGCAGGTAGCCAATTTCGCTGCTCTCATCGTCAATATAGCAACATTGGCGATGTATCTCATCTATCCACCCCTTACATGGCGAGTTCCAATCTTCGGAACTGGACCTCAACAGAAGAAAACAGAATGAGTCCAAAAGAAATCATATACTGCATTTTACCAGCACATGTTCAAATTCAACTTCGTCGTTATTAACCAATGTGCTTTGCCTAGAAAATCATCCGTTAATTTCAATAGTTATCATATTATCGATGCGTTTTATTTACCACTGGCGATCTAGAATATGTGTGTTCATGGAACAGGATTTATCCAAAATCGTTCAGCACGTTCCACCTGTTCACATTCTTGAATGTTTTGATGTTACTTGATTGTGTCGCATTTTTGATGTTGTTACTGTGGAAAACGTGTAAATGAATGATACACTAGAAGGAACCCAAATATCCTGAAATTTCTTCAACAGCAATTTGTAATTAAGACGTTCATGGATCAAGGGAATTTGAAGACAACCTCTAGATATTTAATATGAATTTTTGTTAGATGAATGCTGTATTCGACAGGATCTAGGAACATATATTTCATGATGAATTTGTTTTATACTAATAAAAAAATTAATTTTGTAGCCTTGTTCACATATAATAACTAATTGTAAGACAAATCGAATGATTTAACCGAATAAATTCAAAACGATGCATATTGCACGATTCTGAACCAGATAACTCAGTTCATAAGTTGATATGTTACTGGCCAAAGCTGAGAGTACAGTTGGTTTGAATGCGCCAACCCCTACAACAGCAGCAAAATAGCTATATCTCCTCGCAGGGGCGAAATTTTGCGGTGGTGTTTTCATTTTTAGAAACAGAGATTCTGCTCAATTGATAAATGTACAAACATTAATATGTTTCCCGGCAAACTTGAGAAGACGGCAGGCTTGAATGTATCAAACACGCATTTCTATAGTAATGTATAATATGCACTGATCTACAGTGATCAAATGCATACCAATGAGCACCTCAGCGCTAGTTGAGATAGCTTTATTAAAATTGCTATACCTCCTCAACTACGCGAAATCGCCCTACAAAACATATATTTTTCTGAATGTACAGATTCTGCTCGATTGGACGGTGTTAAGAAGTTGATATGTTACTGGCCAAAGCTGAGAGTACAGTTGGTTTGAATGCGCCAACCCCTATAACATCAGCAAAATAGCTATATCTCCTGGCAGGGGCGAAATTTTGCGGTGATGTTTTCATTTTTAGAAACAGAGATTCTGTTCAATTGAAAAATGCACAAACATTAATATGTTTCCCGGCAAACTTGAGAAGACGGTAGGCTTGAATGTATCAAGCACGCATTTCTATAGTAATGTATAATATGCATTGATCTACAGTGATCAAACGCACATCAATGAGCACCTCAGCGCTAGTTGAGATAGCTTTAATGAAATTGCTACACCTCCTCAACTAAGCGAAATCGCACTACAAAACATATATTTTTCTGAATGTAGAGATTCTGCTGGATCGGACGGTGTGAAGAAGTTGATATGTTACTGGCCAAAGCTGAGAGTACAGTTGGTTTGAATGCGCCAACCCCTATAACATCAGAAAATAGCTATATCTCCTCGCATGGGGCGAAATTTTGCGGGGATGTTTTCATACATAGAAAGCAGAGATTCTGCTCAATTGAAAAATGTACAAACATTAATATGTTTCC